CATGCGTGCGTGCGTGCGTGCGTGCGTGCGTGCGCGCGCGTGCGTGTGTGCGTGCGTGCATGCGTGCGTGCGAGTGTGTGTGTGTGTGCGTGCGTTCGGGCGTGCGTGCGTGCGTGCGTGCATGTGTGTGTGTGTGTGCGTGCGTGCGTTCGTGCGTGCGTGCGTGCTTGCGTGCGTGTGCGTGCGTTTTTGTTGTGTGTGTGTGCGTGTGTGTGTGTGTGTGTGCGTGTGCGTGTGTGTGTGTGTGTGTGCGTGCGTGCGTGCGTGCGTGCGTGCGTGTGTTGTGTGTGTGTTAGTGCGTGCGTGTGTGTGTGTGTGTGTGTTTGTGGGTTTGTGGGTTTGTGGGTGTGGCTGTGGCTGTGGCTGTCTGTGGGTGGGTGGGTGGGTGGTTGGGTGGGTGTGTATATGTGTGTTGTGTGTTATGTGTTGTGTGTTATTTGTTGTGTGTGGTGTGTTGTGTGTGTGCGTTGTGTGTTGGGTGTGTGTTGGGTGCTGTGCTGTGCTGTGCTGTGCTGTGCTGTGCTGTTGAGTGTTGTGTGTTGTGTGTGTGTGCGTGCGTGCGTGCGTGTGTGTGTGTGTGTGTTTGTGTGTCTTGACTCGGGCCCGGAGCCGCTGTGGCTCTTGGCCAGGGCCCCAGCTCACTTTTATCTCCACCTTCGGTGGAGGGCGTCTAGGCCAGATACAGCCTGTCGCCATCAATCCTGCTGGAGGAAAAAAATGAGCTCGGGAAGGCCGAGGACGAGGAGCAGAAGCTGGAGGTGGAGGAGGCGGAGGGGGAAACAGACGAGGAGAAGGAGGACGAGGAGGAGGTCGAGTCGAGGAGGAGAAGGTGGAGGCGGAGGAGGAGGAGGAGGAGGACGAGGAGGAGAAACAGTACGATTTGGAGCTTGAGGAGGAGGAGGAGGAGGAGGAGGAGGAGGAGGAGGAGGAGGGAGGAGCAATCAGGAACGAGGAGGGGGCGGGGGCAGGAGGAGCAGGAGGAGGAGGGAACGCGCCAGGCGCCCAGCGTGGCGGCAGAGTCGTCATCTTCGTGGCCCAGCCCAGCGCAGGGCGCCCAGCGCGGCGGAGCTGGGCAGCCAGAGAGCCCCGGGCCTGTCATCCTGCGCTCCGACCTGCTGGACGACGTCGTGTCGGACGACCCGATGGTTTTTGGCCTGGGCTTGGGCTTGGGCTCTCGTCCTCCGCCACGAATCAGACCACGTTTTTTTCAACCGGGACGGTTTCCTCGATTTCGGCGTCCGGGACCATTATCGGACCCCGGGACCATCAAAAACGAACCCAGGGCGACAAACTACTTTTGGGGCCGCGCATTGGAAACATCACATCGTCGGAAGTCTGGGAATGTGCAACCAATTGCGATCATTACCCAGGCAGGTCTTATCGAGGCTGGGATGTCGGACACCTCATGATTCGAATTTTCAGCCCTGACCATGGTTTCATAAATCTGACCTGTACAGGTAGGGCTCACGTTTGGTTGCCTAGCGAAGGGATGGAGTCCGTCAGGAAAGGGGGATTGGAGTGTGTTGCTCCGTCGCATCTGCATGTCGAGTTGCGTTTCGAATTGCAGTTCTTTTACAAGTGGATTTGCGTTTCGATGTTCACTCTGGTTTCGATGTGCCTTTTGATGTACAATTCGATGTGCATTTCGATGTGTATTCCGATGTGCGTTATGATGTGCATTTCGGTGTGCATTTGCATTTGACTTCCGATGTGCATTCGTGTGTGATTTGCGGCTTGTATTTCCGTTGCAAGTATTCAAGGTTCGCGTATCCCCGCCAGCCCACTCCGAAACGTTGCCGATAAGAGCTGACGGGAAACGGGCGGAAGAGATCCTGAAGCGATGCCCAGGCGAGTTGATTTCTTCAGGGAATGGCAGAGCATGGCAGTGGAACATCTGCGCGGAGAGGTACGATGAGGATGAGCAGGAGGTGGAGGAGGAGGAGCAGGAGGAGGAGTAGGAAGAGGAGGAGGAGGACGAGGAGGAGGAGGAGGAGGAAGAGGAGGCGGAGGAGGAAGAGGAGGAGGAGGAGGAGCAGGAGGAGAGGCAGGAGGAGGAGGAGGAGGAGGAAGAAGAGGAGGACGAGGACGAGGAGCAGAAGGAACAGGAGGACGAGCACGGGAACGAGGAGGAAGGGGAGGATGACGAGGAGAAGAAAGATGGCGACGAGGACGAGGGGAAGGACGAGGAGGACAGTGAGGAAGAGGAGGAGGAAGAGGTGAAGGAGGAGGAGGAGGAAAAGGAGAAGGAGGAGGAGGAGGGCGACGACGACGACGAGGACGAGGGCAAGAACTCTGCTAGCCATCTTGGGCGCTTCTTGAGGCCTTCTCTGCTTCCTCTTGGGGCTGTCTCGGGGCCTCTCGGGGCCCCATTTGGGGGGTATTGGGGCCCTCCTGGGTGTCTTGTGGGGGGTATTGGGGCGCTCTGGGGCAGTCTTGTGAGCCCTGGATGACTTCTTTTGGGCCATCTTGGAGGCGATCGATCAAAGGAGGGGGCGGCAAATTCGACTCCCCCTCAAGAGCCCTCGAAACCGCCTCTTGGGGCCCTCTTGGGGCCCTCTTAGGGCCCTCTTGGGGCCCTCTTGGGGCCCTCTTGAGGCCCTCTTGGGGCGCTCGTGGGCCCTCTTGGCGCCGTTTGGGCCCTCTCGAGGCTGTCTTGGGCCATCTTGGGGCCACCTTGAGGCCTCACACGCCAATCGGATGCGACCCCTCTCCGAACGGAAGAAGGTTTCGGACGAGAAAAGAAAGCACCGTTAGACCACCTACGCCCAAAGGGCTGGTGGTATTTGGTGTGCAGTTCGATGCGTGTGCTGATCCGAGCGTCGATTGACACTGGATGTTCACTTCGATGTGTGCTTCGATTGCAGTGTGATGTGCATTTCGGTGTGCACGGCGATCTGCGTTTGGATGTGCAGGTCGACTGCATGCCTGTGTGCATGTCGACTTGTAGCTCGATGTGCAGATCAATGCGCAGTTCGCTGCGCGTGTCGATTTACTCCTCGATGTGCCCTCTGAAGTCGTTCGGTGGCCAGTGGATTTGCACGTAGATTTGCATCTCCCACGAGACATCCGCGGGGCCACCCGCAGGGCAATCCCAGGCACACCCACGGGACCACCACGGGACCACCACGGGACAGCCCACGAGTCGGCCCCGCACCCCGGCGCAGGGCACGGGAGGGTGAAGCGCGTGGCTTGAGTTGCTCCTGGCCTCGACGACGCACCACCGCCCTCTCGCGCAGCCTCGCGCCTCGCCCGCGTGCACGGCACGAACTGAAAAAAAGACACGTCACCGACATGCCCCCCCTATGGTGGCCAAAATTGCTTTCTCACCCCAGCCTCCGATCTCTTCGTGACGAGAAGCTGGTCCTGGGGGGAGGCCCCGTGGTCCAGGACTCGCTTTCACTGCAAAACCCTCCTCGAAAGCAGTCCCAAGCTTTTTGCTCTTTCGATCGACGCGCGCAGCGCGGCCCGCGGGGTCGGATCTGTTGGTGCTCGCAGTCGCCCAGCTTCGGCGCAGGCGTTGAGGTCCTCTGGGGTCTCGGGGCGCCGCCACGTCGCGGGAAAGCCTTGCGCTTGATTTCGGGCAGGACTGCGGAAGGGCCCTGGGGTCCAGGATCCGTTTCTCCACCAGTACCCATCTTGCCGTGCCGATTCCTCGTCTCGTATTGTGCGATCCTCGGGGCGACGCACGAGAGGTCTGATCGCACCGAGCAGGGAGTGCAGAGGCAAGTGAGCAGAAGGCATTGTCAATCATGCAGGATAGGAGCGTGCAAAGAGAGGACTCCTCCTCCTCCTCCTCCTCCTCTTCCTCCTCCTCCTCCTCCTCCTCCTCCTCTTCCTCCCTCCTCCTCCTCTTCCTCCCTCCTCCTCTTCCTCCTCCTCCTGGGCAGAGAGACGCAGGATGAGAGTGAGGGGAGGGAGGGAGAAGGAGGTAGGAGGGGAAAGGCTTCAGGCAGGCGGATCGTGCCTGCCCGCTTATGCCCCGCCCTACCTGAGGAAGGGCACTGACATGGAGATTGAGAGCCGATGCCCTGTCTTCACAGCCTGATGGCCTGCGTGCCCTTGCCTTCGGGCGTACGCCGGGCACACTGCTTCCCCGCTCGCCCGGCGCGCCCCTGCTTGCTGCAGCAGCCGCGCGGCGGAAGGGCCCGCTCCGCACCTCGTCACATCCTCCCCTTCTACAGTCAACCCGCATACAGTCGGGGCCCTGAAGAAGGAACCCTTTTCGTTGGGGAGGGGCTCCGCGTTCCTTCAGTGTTTCACAGCTTGCCTCAGGTTTTCCTTATGTTTTCGATCGGACATCGAAGTTGAACTTACGGAAAAAAGGGGCCTCGTTCCTTATTTTGGGTTCCTTAGGTCAAGGCCCCCACTGTAGTAAGGAGCGGCAACCTTCCTAAGGGTACCCTTGCATCCTGCCCCTTCGGCCCATCCTTGGCCGCTTTCGCTGGCCGCGCCCCCGCTTGAATAGTGTCGACATGGCCTTCCAAGGCCCTTGCATCCTTACTCCGCATCCTTATGATACGGGTTGGCCGTACAGTCTTTGCGCCTGGCAAACCCCAGTGGTGCTTGTGCACCCCTGCCTTCCCGGCACATCCCCTGGCCATCAGCTGGCTCTTGACGCCCAGCGTGCTGCCGCTTGGGCGCCCACGGGGCCCGCATCCCTGCCGCCCCTTCTTCGGACGCGGGCTCACTGCGCCTCCTCCCGCCGAGCGCGTTTCACTACTCGCAGAGTGCCTACCCGCAAACGTCTGAAAAAGCACGTGTTCGCATCAATGTCATGGATCGTAAAAGACCCGACGCGGCGGATCCAGGCCATTTGCGAGTAGTTACTTCGCGAGTCGTGGAACGCTCTAGTCTATCCTCCCTGCCCTTTCCTCTCAGCACATGCACTGAGGAAGTAATGCGTCGGTTGTTGCGTTTGCCGGGTCCTCTATGAGGGCCAGCGCGCCTCGCAGAGCGCCCGTCGCTTTCAGTCTTAGGCCGCCTCTGGGCGACGACGATCGTTCGTCCGTCCGTCCATTCGCTCGCTCCTCCGCATTCGTCCGTTCGCTCGTTCGTCCGCTCGTTTTTTCTGCCGTCCTTCGGGCGGTTCGGTTCCTCCGCGCCTGCTCGTTGGTTCGTTCGTTCGCTCGTCGTCCGTGCTCCCCGCACGTCATCTGCGACGGCGTGAACCTGCCCAGCACGCCCGAGCTCACGGCCCCGGCGGGCCCAGGGCGCCGCTCCCTCCTTCCTCCCCCCTCTTCCCCCTTGCTCCCTTCCTCATCCCTCCCCCTCCTCCCCAGCTCCTCTTTTTCCTCCTCCTGCTCCCTCCTCTTCCCTCCTCTTGGCCCTCCCCCCTCCTCCCTCCACCTCTTCGTGGAGGCCCCCTCCCCTCCTCCCGAGGGAGGCCCGTGACTCGGCCATCCCGTCCTCCGAGCTGGCAGCGCTCGCCTCCCCGGGGTGCTCGCTGCCAGCTGCGGGGGGGGGCTCAGCAGGGCAGTTTTGGGGCAGAGCCGTGACGCCACGCACGGCGCGTGGCTGGCCGCGCGCACGCGGCGCACCACCCGGCCTTCGTGACTCGAGAGGCGAGCGCCGCAGCAGGGCCCGCCAGGCTGCCCTCGTCCTCCGCCCTCTCGCCCCACCCGCCGCCCCAGGCCCGTCGGACCCAGACATCGGGCGTCTCGAAAAAATCGAGACGGAGGTTTTTCGTTCTTGTCGGCCTCTCGGGGCCCTCGCCGGGCCTCGGGACCGTCAAAAAACGAGGTGAAAAACCGGTCCCGGGGAAGGTGTCGGGAGGTCGGGGGCACGTGTCTCGAAAACATCGAGACGTCGGATGTCTGGGGAGACCTCATCCCTCTGCAGCAGGTGAGTCAAATCAAAGAGGTCGGCCGGCCAGCCGGAGCCCCACGGAAGCCGCTCATCCCCCCAATTGTGGTCCCAGGGGGGGCACCGAAGCCCTGGGGCGCCCCCAGTACCCCGAAGACTCGACGAAGGACGAAGGACGTGCTCCCAAGATTTCTCGTTGGTAAGGCGGTAAGGCTTCGCGCTGAGCACAGACGGCACCCCCATGTAGTCCCAGCTGGCCTCAACAGGCCCCCCCGAGTAGTCCAGGGGGGGGGGTCTCGACACCTCAGGCCTGGAGCGCGCAGCGCCCCAGGGGCGCCGCCAGAGGCGGCGCCGTGTGATGAGACCGCTGGGGACTGCCCGGGGGATCTGTTGAAGCCAGCTGGGACTACTCGGGTAGCCTGCTGAGGCTGCCTGTGCGCATCTTGAAGCCCTACCATTTCTCACAGCAGCATTGCTTGCCGTATCGTCGTCGTCGTCGTCGTCGTCGTCGTCGTCGTCGTGGTCGTCGTCGTCTTTGTCGTCGTCGATGTCATCGTCGTTGTCGATGTCATCGTCGTCTTCGTCGTCGTCGATGTCATCGTCGTTGTCGTTGTCGTTGTCGTTGTCGGCGTCGCCGTCGGCGTCGGCGTCGGCGTTGACGTTGGCGTCGGCGTCGGCGTCATTGGCGTTAGCGTCGGCGTCGGCGTCGTTCTCATCGTCGTCGTGGTCGTCGTCGTCGTCGTCGTGGTCGTCGTCGCCCTCTGGCGGTTCGTCTCGCGCAGCGGCGGGAGTGCGCGAGCCCAAGCGGGCGCGGGGAGGCAAGCCGCGCCCGGCGCCGCAGCCGGGCGCGAGGAGGCCGTGGCCCGCCGGGAGTGCCGCCTGCCTCTTCCCGGGAGGACTCCGACTACAATGGGGGGGAGGGAGGAGGAGGAGGAGGAGGTGGAGGAGGAGGGAGGGAGGGAGGGAGGGAGGGAGGAGGAGGAAGAGGAGGAGGAGCAGGAGGAGGAGGAGGAGGAGCAAGAGGAGGAGGAGGAGGAGGAGGAGGAGGACGACGAGGAGGAGGAGGCGTGGCGTGCCGTGGCCGGGTCGGCGACTACAATCAAGCAGCGGCGAAGCGTCCTGGCTCGCTTACTTTAGGCCCACCAAGGAATTCTAGGCCTCCTCGATGGGGTCCGAGTAGATGGGGTCGGAGGATCGCACCTCATCGCCGATGCATCGCCGATGCGGCTCGATGTGGAGCCCGACTCGCTTAACGCCGACGTCGACGATGCATCGCCAGTGCATCGCCGATGCATCGCCGATGCATCGCCGATTCATCGCCGATGCATCGTCGATGTACCTGCGACGCAGCGCGAACCTCCGACCCCATCTACTCCGACCACATCTAGGAGACCTCTAGGAATGTTATGAGAACCTCTTGTGATCTGCACAACATGTTCTTGGAACACTTATGGCTGAGAGTGTCTTATTTTAGCACGGTGGGTCCATGTTCTAATAACATTGTTCTTGTTATTGGAACGCTTCTGGGTTCTACGAGCATGTCGCGGTAGGCCTCGAGGAATGCCAGGACGGCCAGTCCTTTCTCAATGTCGGCCACGCGCAGAGGGGGGTACAGTAGAAATTCGTAGTGAAGACGCACGGTTGTCCTTACGGTACCCTTGCGTCCTTGCCTCTGCGGCCCGTCCTTCGCTGTCTCTACTGGCGAGCCCTTCAGGCGTTTGCAGCCCACCGCCCCAAAAGTGACAACTTCGGCGTCCAAGGCTCTTGCGTCCTTACCGCCCGTCCTTACCATGGATCTCTATGGTAGGGGCAGGGGGGCAGGCCTCTTGGAGGGAGGCCGCTCCTCAGAAGGCGCCGACCCGACGTCTACGGACGAGGCCCGCGCCTTCTAAGAAGCAGGGTGCTTCTAAGACGCCTTCCCCCATCCCCCTACCCCCGTGCTGTATTCGGGGGAGCGTAAGACCTGGGTTTGCCAGGACTCGGGTTCGCCATCGTTTTTTGACGACCGCGCCTCGGATTTTGACGAGGAGGAGTTCCGTGGGATGTCTGCAGCGGGAGGCCTCGTCAAAATGCAGGCTCGACCTCGTCATTTTTGTTGACGATCTCGTCGGGGATTTCCGAGTCCCCTGTACCCAGGTCTTACGCCCCCCTGATGTATGGTGACGGCGGGGTGTGGCCTGCGATCGGCACCGCCGGGGCCTCGGGAGCACAACGCCTGTCCTCGTCGGGCCTCCCCGGGGGGGCGCGCCGCGGAGGGCGCCGTCGAGGTCTCCCCGCGCCCAACCCCTCAGGAGGGGAAAAAACACACAGACACAATGAATCGGCGATTCCCAGAAAATATGGGAAAATATGGGAAGTGGGGGGGAAGACAAGAACCCAGAAAATATGAGAAAATATGGGGGATATTACCTAACAGCTCTTGCTGATAGGTTTCTAGTGGTCTCAAAAGAGATCATCATGACTCCTCAGGGGGGTCTGGGCGGGACCCGGGGAGGCTGCCGCCGAAGCCGAAATCGCTTGGGACATCCTCGCAAAATCGCTCTTGGTGCTCCCAGAACTCCATTCCCGGGCCACATTTTGGATGCCCGGAGCCAACTGTAGGCCACTTCGTGCTCTTCGACTTCCCAGAACTCCATTCCCGGGCCACATTTTGGATGCCCGGAGCCAACTGTAGGCCACTTCGTGCTCTTCGATTTCCCAGAACTCCATTCCCGGGCCACATTTTGGATGCCCGGAGCCAACTGTAGGCCACTTCGTGCTCTTCAAGTTCCCAGAACTCCATTCCTGGGCATGATTTTGAATGCCCGGAGCCAACTGTAGGCCACTTCGTGTTCTTCTAGTTCCCAGAACTCCATTCCTGGGCCACATTTTGAATGCTGAGGCAGGCTGATGCTGAGGCTGAGGCAGGCTGAGGCAGGCTGAGGCTGAGGCCGAGGCTGAAGGACTGAGGCTGAGGCTGAAGCAGGCTGAGGCTGAGGCTGAGGCAGGCTGAGGCTGAGGCTGCAGGCTGAGGCTGAGGCAGGCTGAGGCTGAGGCTGAGGCTGAAGGCAGGCTGCAGGCTGAGGCTGAGGCTGCAGGCTGAGGCTGAGGCTGAGGCTGAGGCTGAGGCTGAGGCAGGCTGAGGCTGAGGCTGTGACTGCGACTGCCGTTGCCGCTGCGACTGTCATCGCGAATGCGACTACGACTGCGAGAACAGCAGAATTCGACAACTGGATTTTCATCTGAATCTGAAGGGGAATGCTTTCAGATATGCTTCCACACATCGCTGTTAGGTTGCTTTGCCGGGATAATTTTTATTTGTGTGTATTTTTTTGTGTGTCCCAATTCCCCTTCACACACGCCCTGTGCAAACTACGCCCGTCGGAGTCGCCGAGGAGGGCTCAGGAAGCGCACGCAGTCGAGCCCGACGCGGCAACTTCGGGGGACCTCGTCTGTCCTTGAAGTGGCTTTCTTTCCTTTTGCGAGATTAGTGTGCACGGCGTGTGCTCGAAAGTGGAGCCGTTGCGATGAGGATTCGACGCGGGTTTGACAGGGATCCGATTCGGACCTGGCAAGTCCGACACGTATTCGACGCGAATTCGACGCGGACAGCGGCACGATGGGACAGGCAGGGTCCCCTTGCGACGCAAGCAGACGAGCCACTCGTGAGGATCGAATCATTAATTTCAAAGGGAGCCCTCGCTCGAAGAAGAAACCGACAGCGCGCAAACATCATCTATCGTTAGATCGGGCTCGTCCTCCTACAGGCGGATCTGGAAGACAAGCAACACATATTCAACACATGGTCAAACATAGTCAACAGAGCACGAAGCTAGTCAAAAGACCAACTTTTCACCATTCTCTTACTGACTTTTACCTTTACTAGCACTCACTACTCTTGAACCTTCCTCCTGCAGGGGACATGCCCGACTGTGAATCGATCGGAGCTTCGCGCAGATCTCCCGGGTCGGCGCCCCGCCCCCTGCCGCGGCGCCTCCGGCGCCACGCCCCCGGCGCGCCCCGCGCGCCGGGCGAGGGGTGGACCCAGCGCCAACCGTGGGGGGCGGCAGAGGGGGGTGATGACTGGGGGGGGGATATCATGGCGGGGGCCATGATATTTCCCCAGATCTCAGGGCGCCTCTTCTTATTTCATTACGTCCCCGGCCCCCCCGCTGGGCCGCGCACCTGCCGCCGGTCAGGGTTTGCACCCCCCCGCTCTTGGACACCCCCCTCTTGGCCGCTCCCGAAACCTGATAAGAAGCCCGCGCGGACCTCCGAGGGGTACGTAATGCTTACGTCGGGAGCCTGGTGACGGGGGTCAATGCAAACGGGGTCAGCCAGAGCGCCGGATCTTGCAGGATCCTGCAGGGCCAGGGTCGCAATGACCCGGGCTTGGGCGCAGGATCCTGCAGGGTCCTTCGCACTGGCCCGGGCTTGGGCGCAGGATCCTGCAGGATTTTGCCAGGCTTGACTGACCCGGGTCTGGACTGATCCGGGTCAGCAGATCCCCGATTACAGTCAACCCGCATAGTAAGGATGGTCGGGGGTGGACAGACCTCCTACCCTGACACGTCGATTAAGGAATTGGCCGTTTTTGGTTCGCGAGAGGGCGTCGCGGCCGTCATTTTTGCGGGTCCAGGTCCGTCGGTTTCGGCCCCAAGCCGTTCCCACTAAGGGGAGGTCTATCAAAGGGAGGTTTTTCCACCGCCGAGATGGGCAACTACCTTTCCCACGGGTACCCTTGCACCCTTGCCCCTTCGGCCCATCCGTGGCCACTTCCGCCGGCCGCGCCCCGCTCGACCGAAGGGATATCCTGGCGGTGGAGTGTACAACTCAACAGTGAATGACAACTACGCTGTTGGCACTGCGTGACCCCGAGTGAGTTAGCCCTACGGTAACCCCGAGAGAATTGACACTGCGCTGTTGGCACTGCGCACTCCGAGTGCACTGACACCTACGCTGTTGACACTACGCTGATGGCACTACGCTGTTGACACTACGCTGTTGACACTGCGCTGCTGACACTGCGCTGTTGACACTACGTTGTTGACACTACGCTGTTGACACTACGATGTTGGCACTGCGTCTTTGACACTGCGCTGTTGTCCCTGCGCTGTTGACACTGCGCTGTTGACACTGCGCTGTTGACACTGCGCTGTTGACACTACGATGTTGGCACTGCGTCTTTGACACTGTGCTGTTGACACTGCGCTGTTGGCCCTGCGCTGTTGACACTACGTTGTTGACACTTCGCTGGTGACACTACGTTTCTGACACTGTGCTGTTGACACTGCGCTGTTGACACTGCGCGGTTCACACTATGCTGTTGACACTACGCTTTTGACACTACGCTGTTGACACGACGCTGTTGGCACTACGCTATTGCCACGACGGTGTTGACACTACGCTGTGGACACGACGCTGTTGACACGACGCTGTTGACACTGCGCTGTTGGCACGACGCTAATGATCCCACGCTGTTGACACTACGCTGTGGACACTACGCTGTTGACACTGCGCTGTTGACATTACGCTGTTGACACTGCGCTGTTGACACTGCGCTGTTGACACTGCGCTGTTGACACTGCGATATTGACACTACGCTGTTCACACTGCGCTATTCTCCCTGCGCTGTTCACACTGCGCTATTCTCCCTGCGCTGTTGACACTGCGCTTTTGGCCCTGCGCTGTTGACACTGCGCTTTTGGCACGGTGCTGTTTACACCGCTTTGTTGACACGTACGCTGTTGACACTACGTTGTTGACACGTACGCTGTTGACACGTACGCTGTTGACACTACGCTGTTGACAGTACGCTGTTGTCACTACGCTGTTGACACCACGCTGTTGACACTGCGCTGTTGACACTGCGCTTT